AGCACTCTTAACCTCTGAGTCATTTCTCCAGCCACCAGTGTGCTCTATTTCTTAATCATTACCTGCAACCACACTCATTTACAATAAATCTCTAACCCCTCTTCAGTGAAACTGATGAGAAGATGTGTGAGACAGAGATAAGAGAAGTGCCCCAGAGCATGTGGCTAAAGAGTCAGGGCCAGAGGACCATCAAGAATTAGTGAGGATGCACATCTGCTGTGCAGAGTCTAAAATGGCACATCTACTAGAAACCACTGGAAACGTTTAACTGAACAGGCCCTATGACCCAGTCGGTCTACTCAACTATAACCGATGACATCTTCACAAAAACACATACACTGAAATTCACACCAGCACAAGATCCATAGCAAAAACCTGGACACGCCCCAAATGTCCCTCCCTGGTACTGAGTGAAGCTTGTAAGAGAACACTGCACAGAATTCAGAATGAGCCGTCTACCTCTGCCTACAAACAGCGTCGGTGTGCTTCCCAAGCACAATGTAAAGTGAAGAAGCCAGGCATCATGAGAGAATATGTGTCAGACTACAGTTAGAGAAGTATTACAGAGGGCTGACCTGATGCTGTGGCAGGGTCCAGGTCCCTTCAGGAAAGTGTTACCAGGAGGCACCCAGCTGTGAGCCCTCTTCAGAAGCACACCCAGCTGTAAAGAGCAGCAGTGTCCAAAGGTGGCACCTTCCTCAGCAACCGACAGCCTGGTCAACATGGCTATAGAGCCTGTGTCCATGCAACCGAGGGCATCTCTGAAGGACCTCCCACAACCCCTCAGGGTACACTTAGTTCAGATTCCATCTCCACTGGCTACGTGAGCTTCCACATTTCTACGTGGGTGTCCTCATCTACAAATGACTAATAGTTACCCTGTTGGGATGTCTCTAAGGACCGAGCTAGTAGATATTTGTAAAGCCTGCAGCTCACCTTCTCCCAGTGTCCTGTCCTGCTCCCTTCCTTCTCCTCCCTTCCCAAATGTCGACCTCAAGGGCTCTCTCATGACTCTCCTGAATTCCAGCCTTGCTCTTAATCTGCTACCCAGAGCACACAACCTTCAACACAATGGACCTGGGTCTGTAGCACTGGAAGTAAGAACAGTGACGACTATGGTCAGTAAGGACAGGTCTGATGTGGAGAGAGCAGGAAAAACTTCTGAGTGCTGCCATAAGCCTTCTTTAAAAAAAAAATCCTGGTGTGGTGGCGCACGCCTTTAATCCCAGCACTTGGGAGACAGAGGCAGGAGGATCTCTGTGAGTTCGAGGCCAGCCTGGTCTACACAGTGAGTTCCAGGTCAGCTGGGGCTCTAGGGAGACCCTGTCTCAAAAAGATGAAAAAAAATAAATAAAATCTGGGCTCTGGCTGTATAGGATGCTCACATGGAAAAAAAAAAATCAGCTAACTGTACAGCTATGAAATGTGTCCTTTTTCAATTCAATATAAAGTTAAAATAAGCACATTAATTGTCCAGAATGGACTATAAACTTAAAGAATACTTTATCCTAGCTGTACATCCTTTAAACCACTCATGTGCACAAAAACATAAGACAGAGAAATCTAAAACATACTAACAGGTTACAAAGCAGCTGGAGGTAAACCAGCCCAGGCCTGAGACCTCTGTGACAAGGTTTCTTACTGAATCTAGAGCCAGCCTGGCAGTCAGCAAGCAAATCCTTTTATCCCCATCCTCCACTGCTCCTGGGTTATTAACACATATAGCCTAGTCCCAGCCTTTTTTTTAAGCGGAGGTACTGGGATCCAAACTCAGGCCTTCATGCTCACACAGCAAGTGCTCTACCCTCTGAGACATCTCTCCAGCCCCTACCTTCACTTCTGAATTTTCCTTTAAAAGTGCACCTGACTACAGTTAAGATATAAAAATCTTTCCACTCTAAAGCTGGGGATGCTACAGGAGGCCTGTAATCCCAGCAGTCCAGAGGTAAAGGCAGGATGAAAAGGAGCTCTAGGCCAGTCTCAGCTAGTTATTGTTTGAGGCCAACCTGGGCTACCTGAGACCCTGCCTCGAAAACCCTTTCCAACTCAAGAAAGCACCTTCCTTTTACTAGTGTGTTGGCTACTCCATTTTTTTTTTCATCTTTTTGAGACAGGGTTTCCCTGTAGGCCCAGCTGGCCTGGCACCTGCTATGTAGACCAGACTGGCCTCGCTCTCACAAAAATCTGCCTACCTCTGCCTCCCAAGTGCTGGGATTAAAGGTGTGCACCATGCACCACCACGCCCAGCCATCCATTCTCACTTTTTAAAAAACCATTTTCAGTTAACTCAGTCAATAAAACTTCACAACAACTCCACTTTCAGACAGAGCACAAGAATCTAAAAAAGGACTTGACATGGCCCCACTGGAGAACGGCACCCTTCACTCTGCTGCCTGGCACTTGATGAGGACATTCTCACACACCCATTCTTGGCCTAGCCTCATTTGGGCCAGTCCCACACTAGACACCTTACAATTCAGGAGAAGCTCAGAACAAATGACTTCCTTAAAATGAGGACGCTGATGTCACCAGCACCGGCTAGGGGATGTAAGAACCAGACAAAAGTCACAGAGACTGTGATGGCTTGAAGGAGAATGTCCCCCACAGGCTCCATGTTTCAGAACCCCGTCCCCAGTTGTTCTGAGAGGTTTAGGAGGTACGGCCTTGATAGAGGAAACCTATCACTGGGGTGGGTCTTATCCATTTCCAGTTTATCTCTCTGCTCCCTGTGCCGGCTTAAAGATGTGAGTGCTCAGCTTTCTGCTCCAGTCGCCTCTGCCGCCATGCTTCCTCTGGACTCTTACCCTTCTAGAGTCAGTAGCCCAGCAAACTCTTCCTTCTGAAAGCTGCTTTGGTCATGGTGTTTATCAGAGCAACAGAGATGTAACCAGTGTGAAGGCAGATGGTAAACACAAAGGGCCACTGCTGGCGGACTGTGCACACCTTGCTGCAACAAGGGGGGGAGTGTGGGTTCACCTGACATGGACATTTCAATGCGTTAGCTACCATGGACCCAGAACGAGAGCCAAATGCATTTCGTTTTCAGTCTGTTGCTTTGTCTGTCTGCTTTTCTTGCATACGTAGGTAACAGAGAATCAACCCCATAAACTAAACTGCAGTAAAAATTTTTAGGCTAATCCCAAATTGTCAAATGTTGGATTATCTTTAGAATGATTTGGTGAAGATATCCCAGAGTTTCACTAGATGACCTAGCTCTTTTTTTTTTTACTTATTACTTTTATTTTATGTATATGTGTGTATTGCCTGCATGTAGGTAAGTGCACCTATGTCGTGCAATGCCCACAGAGGTCAGAAGAGGATGCCAGATCCCGTGGGACTCGAGTTATGGACAGTTATTAGCTACCATGTGGGAGTTGGGATTCAAACCTGGGTCTTCTGCAAGAACAACCAGTGTTCTTAACCACTGAGCCATCTCTCCAGCCCCCAACTTAGATCTTTTAAAATTGTTACTGAATATGTTAAAGCTGTAATGAAATGCTTCTAAAAAGAAAAAAAAGAAAAAGAAATGGACTTGCCTCTCAGATGAGTCTAAGTGAATCCATCTTCCTCTAAGGCAAGGACGAAACAGTACATTCTGCAATATTCTGTAATAATGTGCATTCCATTTTTATCTTAAAAACACAAGAAGCTGGCTGGGAACTTACCACCCATTGTCTTTTGCGGTCACTCACTGATTTCACATTCATTCATTCAACAAATATTTTTTGAAAGCCTACTCTACTCTGCCTTGAAGCTAAAACCTAATTTTCATCTTCTTTACGTACAGATATAAAAAGATCTCAAACATTCCATTTGACCACAATCAGAATTCCAAAATCCTCCCTCATATCAAGAAGCGATTTTGCTTCCTGACTCAATTATGCTCCAACCTTCACAAAAGAGCAGACGAAGAATGTCTCCTGGGGGCTGGAGGGATGGCTCAGTAGCCTGCCGCTCTTCCCAGGACCCCAGCTCCGTTCCTAGCACCCACCCAAGGGGTTCACAGTACCTCTGCTCCCCAGGCATCCAAGGCCTCTGGCTGCCACAGGCATTCATACTCACACGTCCATAATTAATAATAAGCCTTTTTAAAACGAAGACTGTCTCCTGGGTGTTTGTCTAAGATACTGAATGCACTTCACATTCAGATAGGCACATGTACCTTAAGGGCCAGGGGCAAAATGCAATGGTTTGGATCTGGAAAGTTCTCCCAAAGGTCCATATATCAGAGGCTTAGTGTCTAGTCTGGCACTACTGGGAGATGGCAGGACCTTTAAGATGTAACACTAGCAGGAACTTTTCAGGCACTGGAGTCGGTCCTGGTGGGGCAGTGGGATCCCTGCCCCTTCATCTTTCTGTCACTCTCAGGTCACAATGCAAATACTTTGTTCTGCTGTTCATTTCTGCCATGATGTGCATTTCACCACAGGCCCCAAAATGAGACCAAGTTATTACGTATGGAAAGCACTCAAAACAATGAGCTAAGCAAACCTTTCCTGTTGATAAGCTGATTACCTTGGATATTTTTACAGTGAAGAGAGCTAGCTGATACATACCTAACACTCTCTCTCTCACACACACAAAATCCCTTTACCACTTGAAAAATTTAGAAAAAGTCAAATCACACCAAATCTGTCCTTTAGCCTAGAAGTCCGTTAAATGAACATCAATGTGTCTGCACTGTCTGGACCTTGGCTGGCGGTTATAAAATAGCCTTGTGCTGCTGCACCTTCCCAGCCTCACCAGTCCTCCTTCTGCAGGAAACTGTTCCTTCTTCACTGATGGGACCAAGAACTACAAAAAGAACGAAAGAAACCTCTCCCAACCTTCCCTACACAACAGCTATAGGACATTCCTAACAGCAGGAGAATACTCAGGCATACTGAATGTTTGAAACAGACCAGCCATCATGGAGAAGTCAACAGGTCGGTTGGGAACGCTACTGTGTCAGCAAGCATGGCTTCAGCACTGCTGCAGTGACAATCTTCAAAGCAGCCTACCTCAGTTGGCCCAGCATACATCATGGGAGACGGGAAGATGGCCACCACTGTCGTTTCAGGATTCAAGATTCCCTCCTCCAGCACTGCAGCATGCTGCTTCATACGCCACATCAAAGGGACGTCATCATCTTTTGTCCAGCCACCGAGGGGGTGGAGGAGGAGGACAGGGCGCCGATAGCCCCTCTCTAGAAGCTGTTTGTGGGTGTCCTGCATTAACAGAGCATGTCCATTGTGCACTGGGTTGCGCAACTGAAATGCAAACACAGCATCTGAAAAGAGAATTTCCAGCATTAGGATTTTCCAACATTACCTCACACAGGACAAGCCATTCTTCTTAAAGACAGATGCTCAGAAGTAAGCAAACACGCATGCTCAGAATCGGAGTGGTAAAACCACGCACTGCTTCGCCTGTTTTCCCCAAGGCAGCAGGACATGCACTGCTGCTGTTCGATATTAAGTAGTTCTTGTTGCCTAGGATACGTAATATAACAGTCACAGACTCAGAACAGTTACTATCTGCATACAAGGGAAATGAGAATACTGTCAGAACCTTCTTTGTCCTAATATTCATTTGTTTACAACAGATGTAAATTCATGGTTAATGCAGCTCTTCCAAAGGACCTAAGATACCTCTTTATTAAAATAAAGAGACATGTCTAAGCACCAACATTCTGCAGACTCTCAACCTCTAAGCTTTAGCCATTTGTGAACTTTTGTGTTCCTGGGCCTCTGTCACCTGAGGGAGCTTCATTAATGAGAACTGAGATATTCATTAGTGTCTTCTTTACCCTTTGTTCTAGGTACCATGAACCTTAGGTGTAGAGGTTACATTGTAGATGTGTCACTTAGGCCTCGGCAATTCACAAGCAAGGTCTACGTGTGACCAGTAACAGGATTCCTATATTAAACTTCACCCATCCAGGGCTCAGGGACCATTGAGGAAGACGGGAGAGGAAAGATTGTAAGAGCCAGGGAGGAGGTGCATGACCATATGAAAATAAGAGTCCTACAACCTCCTGGGACCCTGCTCCTTTAAACCTACAGCAATGGAGTCAGCATGCACAAGACCCATGCAAACTCAGAAAAAAACCCAGCATAAAACTGGGGAAATGGACAGCAGACTCCAATCTTAGATGAAGAAATATTGGCAACTGATTACTGCTAGGTGAGGAAGAGCTGATGTGCCTAGAGCCTAAAGCGAGGGACTCTAGACAAGCTGACTAGACCTCAGTAGATGGACTTGCACTGAGGAACGTCTGGAGACACTAACTTGACACAATTGGCCTTAACACGATGACAGAATGTATTAACTCCAGTGGCGGGGCCTATGAGAGGGTGCCAGTGGGGACAGGGGTATAAAAGATGATTAAGATTGATTGAGATGTTCTGTATAAAATACACAAAAATCCAATAATTTTTTTTAAAAAGAGACATGATGTTAAGACATGTATGTAGTTTCAAGTTTTTATTTGCTATCCAAATAGGCTCATTTATGCAGATTGTTCTAACAAGAATCCCATTGTGTTTTATCATCTGAGGTCTCACTTTGGATTGTAATTCAGCAGTAATGATACTTTTATAAGGACCATTACTATTATTCAAATGATGAAAGCTACAAGGTTTATTAAATTATCTGCTTACAGTCCTGGTTTCACTCCTCCATGCTTTCTACCAAGAGATTTCTGTTAAGAAGCCATGCAGTGTAATTACAGAAAAGAGAGAAACAATCCTGCTGTGGAAGCTCTGTCTCCATTTGTCTCCAAACACCTGGCACATCATCCCACCATGCTGATCCACACTTGATTCAGAGGGGAACAGCCTCCCTCTTTTAATACTTTGAGTCCAATAGTGGATATTGCATTGCACATAATCTATTTTCAATTCTGACCCCTCTATCCTCATGACAAAAGCACAGAAAAGTGTGGCACATACGACCAGGACTTTTGGGGCTTGTTTTGCTACATCCTTTAATATTCAGTATTTAGAACATTATCATTATTTCTAGGTATTCTCAAGTTACCTTTCAAACATGAAAAGGACTGGTTTTTATCCAGGTGATGTGCCATGAGAATACACACAGGAAAGCATTTATAAAGTACATGAGCCCTTAAAATTGTTCTGCTTTCATCTGGAGGAGGGATATAGATCTGATCACTGTTCCAATTCTTTGGAATTTGTTTCAAATTTTGTTTTACATGTGGACATAAAAGACCCCACAATATCTCAGTGTCAACTAAAAAGAACTCCAGGACTCCCCTCCCCAAATCAAGAAACAATTTCACTTCCTAACATGCTGATATTCCAACCTTTCAAGGAATAGATGAAGTACTAATATTTGAAATGGCATCGTATTTGCAGGTAACATACGCACATTCTTCTGTATTCTTTACATCTTTAGATGTAGCAGATGGTGATGAACACAGAAACCAACAACTGGCCAATGTGCAGAGAACAAGAGGCTACAGGGTGCTGATCCCTGAACAGGTCACCTGTATCAAACCTCTGCCTCCCAAAGCTCAGGGATCATTGTGGAAGAGGAGGAGGAAAGACTGTAAGAGCCAGAGGAGGTGGATGACCACAAGGAAACAGAGTTTTACAGATAACTGGGCAGTTACCTATATGTACTCACAGCAATGGTGACAGCATATACAAGTCCCACACAAGCTCAAATCAGACAAAATCCCAGCATAGACATGGGTAAGTAGATAAGAAACCCCAACCCAACTTAAGGAACTACTGGTAACTGATGGCTGCTGGGAAGGGGAGAGTCGGTCTCTTTAAGGTTAGGTCTCTTGGTAGGTTAGGCGCCAGTGGATTGATCCACACACCAAAGGGTATTTGGGGACACAAATTAGACTCTATAGGCTTTAATGTGTGTATATAAAATAAAGTAGATTGAAGTGGGTGGAGGGAAATAAGAGGAGGTACAGACAGGGGAGGGAATCTAAATATCATCAAATTATATTATATGAAAATCACAAAAATTTACAAAAACATAAAATATTTTTTGAAAAGCAGGCAAAAGTCTGACTACAATTATTTACAAATTCTGAAAGTCTCTACCTGAAAATACTTGTGAGTTACTAAGTACAAAATAATTTTGAGTTTATAATAGAAAAAAGCAATAAAGGCTAATTTTTTTAAGACGTTAACTCCACTTATAATAGGGATAGATCAAAAATGTAAGCTACCTGTTACAATGCAGCCTGTTTCCTGTAATACTCAACAAAAATGTAACTTGAGCTGGACATGGTGGCACACCCCTTTAATCCCAACACACAGGAAGCAGAGCAGGCAGATCTCTGTGACACAGAGGCCAGCCTGGTCTACACAGTGAGTCCCAGGCCAGCTGGGGCTACAGGGAGACCCCTTCTCAAAAACACAAAACTAGGGGCTGGAGAGTGGCTCAGTGGTTAAGAGCACTGACTGCTCTTGCAGAAGACCCAGGTTCGATTCCCAGCACCCACATGATGGCTACAAACCGTCCTTAACTCCAGTTCCAGGGGAATCAGAAGCCCTCTTCTGACCTCCGCAGCATTGCACAACACAGGTACACTCACATACATGCAGACAATACACTCATACACATAAAATAAAAATAATAAATAAAACATAAAAAAACAAAAAATGAAAGTGGAAGTCAAAGATGATGGAGAAATGGGTGACAAGCCCCCAAAGAGCAGGAGCTACGTGAGAGGACGCGCACTCTACAAACCGCCCAGGGTGTAAAATGAGCACTGACTGCTCCAAGCTGAAGCAGACTAAAGACACCTGTCCTGGATTCTGAGCTGGACAGGATAGGACGTAAGACAAGGCTCTAGAATACAGAACCCCACTAGGGCAATTGCATGACTTCAAGGGGAAGAATGTAACAGCACAGGCACCTTTTAAGCTGAGGAGCACTATGCAGTTGAGCACAAGACTGTCCTTGTTTTTAAGAAACACAAAGATAAGAGGGCCTTAAAACTTACTCTCAAAAACAATGAGAATGTAAAAGCTATAAAATTTTCTTAAATAATTGTGGAATCTTGGTTAAAGAAATATACAGGAGGGGCTGGAGAGATGGCTCAGCAGTTAAGAGCACTGGCTGTTCTTGCAGAAGACCCAGGTTCAAATCCCAGCACCCACATGGCAGCTAACAACTGTCTGTAACTCCAGTCCCAGGGGATCTGACAGCCTCTTCTGACCTCCGTGGGCATTGCACGACACAGGTGCACTTACCTACATGCAGGCAACACACGCATACACATAAAAATAATAAATAAATTTTTTTAAAAGAAAGAAAAGAATATACAGGAGCTCTAGGAACTAGCCTTGTAATATTTATGTAAATTTTTAATTATTTTAAAACAAAAAGTTAAAAACTGAGATGAGACATCACCCCATTGTAGTTTTTAAAAGTCATTTTTTCCTTTGTTTTTCTATGAAAATATTAGCAATTTGAACACTATTTGACAATATTTTTTACAACTAATGGGTATTACACAGGTGAAATAGTGGTATTGTGGTTGTGCTTTTTGAAAGTCTTTACCTTTAAGAGACACATACTGAAAATTTTAGTTGAGATGACATAAGGTTTGAGATTTGATTAATAATAATATGGTGAGAGCATTATTTGACCCCCAAAAAGCCAGGAAGGCATTTGGGGCTTTGCCAAGTCATGGGGCTCTGCTGCAACCACTCAAACATACATTACAGGGCAAAAGCAGTCAGGGACAATGCTTGAACCCCAAAGCCTGGCTATCTACTAGTATAGTTACTGCCAGATTTAGCATTCAGGCTACAGTTTGTTAACCTCTGGAAGACAAATAAAATGGGACTGTGGAAGTAAAATAAAATTCCAACCAAGACGTGCAAGAGGAAAAGTGTAGAGGCAGGGAAGAGGGACACATCCCAGGAGCATAAAATCATCCATTTTTTCCAAGCTGGAAGGTACACAATAACTGGATGTAAAAGCCAATACCAAGTATCACGTAGAATTCTGAAGGGCCATTAAATGAAATGATACTATGTACCAAATAAAGGCTGTGGGTGAAAAATGAAGTACTCCATATTATTTTATGGAAAACAAGCCTAATAGAACTATACAAGACTGAGGAAAGAAAAAAGAGAGCAAGTAGACAGGAACCCAAAAGGTGAGATAGCGGCCATCCACATTTTCCCATCAAAGAGAACTCAGCCAATCCTTTGGATTTCTCCACTCAATCTGTGTCCCCAGGACAAATTTATCTGATAAGCCATACCCTACACCCTAAGAATGAGACCTAAG